TCTCTCGACGATGTCCAATTTACGTACGCGTTCCCCCTATCTAGCCATTGTCTAAAAGTCTAAATGTTATAAGACGCGCGGGCCAAAGTTACGCGACGACTTTGGGACGACGCGACTAGAAAGTAACGGCGGTGTTTTCCGTCGATCGGCTGTTCCGCACGGCGTGCGCACGGTGAAGATTGCAAAGTTTCACCGAGAGGATTCCTTACAAAGCCTGACTTATTTAGCCTCGGGCCCGTGCGATGGGTGCCACCTCTCTCTCTCTCTCTCTCTCTAGAGACCTCGTTCGCCGCCTCTTTGACTCCGGTTTCGCCCTGGCGCGTCCGCGTGGGAGCGAGAACACAGGCGGAAGAGGAAGGTTGCAGGAGCGAGCTTGAAAGGACGAAACGCTCTTTTGTCGGTGCCCTCTACACCGCAGAACTTTATTAATTGCGCGTTTTGTTATGCAGATTCCTGCTGAGCCAGTCTCAGTCTTTCCAACTCCCGGCTCTGCCCGAAGCGACCTTGTCTGCCGGCCCGGCCGGCGACGCGACCCCATTAACTCTCCGCCAGAAGAAAGAGGGAGAGAGGGATAGTCCAGAACCCCGCCTTTAAAAGATTACCCGTCGAATTCATTGCCTTCAATTGAGAGAAAACTTTGCGCATTCTCGGAACGCAACGATCTCTCTCCGCGTATGGATCCTTGATATCTCGAAATCTCGTTCGCGCATGCTCGCTGTTTTCTTGTTATGACGAATTATATGTTATTATGCTCGAAGTTGTTTGCTATTCCAAGACGCCACTGAGCTGTCGGGAAGTCGAGTAATTAATTGTCCGCGAATGACACTTCGTATTCAAACCTGACCAGTGTCCATTACGCAATTCCTTATAAAGTTGCGAACGATTTGAAAATGAACGCGATAAATTATAATAACACTGTGAAAATTCTACAAAGATACGATCGACTTCCTTATATAAGAAGTTCATTAATATACAATGTTTTTGCGCGTTAAAAAAAAAAGAATGCATGCATTACCATATAAATGCTGACAAACATCCCAACAAACACCGATATATAATTGTTGCTATAATAAAACGGAATATAACAGGTAATATAACGAGTCTGTTACATGTAACATCTATGTTAGTTGTAATTTCCCACTCATAGATGTAACATTTTAATATAACATATATTACATTGTAGTTATATTGTAATTATATACCAAATAGCACATTGGTGTAGTGATAAATCAGTGCTATCTTGGGATATAATGACAATATAACTACAATGTAATATACGTAATATTAAAAATGTTACATCTATGAGTGGGAAATTACAACTAACATATACGTTACATGTAACATGCTTAAGTATATAACATTTATATACTGTATTTGCTGGGATGCATCGTTAACAGATGTATTAAATCATCTCTTGAATCCAAATAGCACATTGGTGTATTGATAAGTCAGTGCTATCTTGGGATATAATGACAATATAACTACAATGTAATATACGTAATATTAAAAATGTTACATCTATGAGTGGGAAATTACAACTAACATACATGTAACATGCTTAAGTATATAACATTTATATACTGTGTTTGCTGGGATGCATTGTTAACAGATGTATTAAATCATCTCTTGAATCCAAATAGCACATTGGTGTATTGATAAGTCAGTGCTATCTTGGGATATAATGACAATGTAATATACGTAATATTAAAAATGTTACATCTATGAGTGTGGGAAATTACAACTAACATATACGTTACATGTAACATGCTTAAGTATATAACATTTATATACTGTGTTTGCTGGGATGCAAATCGTTAACAGATGTATTAAATCATCTCTTGAATCGATCCTCGTCCGACACAATGATCGATTGTCGTAAGTGAAACGTTTGGTATCGTCGTGATACACGCGATACGAATTGTTCCGAGCTTGATTGCTCGGCTCCCTGGACGCGCCGATAATTAGCCCATTAGGAAATGAAAAGTCCAACGACTGTTGAAAAGGCGGTATCCGTTCCGTTTCGCCCGAAGCGGTAGTCATTACTCCGGTAGTCTGAGCCAAAACGAGAGAAATATTCCTCCGGGAAATACAGCATAAGAACCACTTAAGAGCATCGGCCTCCGAGAGTTCACTTTCTTCTCTCCCGGTTTTACTCCCTTCTTTACTCGAGTCGTAATAATCGTGACGCATCAAATACCGGTTGCCACGACTCTCTTTCTCTCTTTCTCTGCCCAGAAACCGGACAACGCCAACGAGATTGGTCGATCAATGACACGACATGAATCACGAAGAGATTGTAACTGTTGGCATAGAACGAGGTATCAATGCAGCGGAAGTAGAGAGAGAGAGAGTATGCCAGGTTTTCTCGCGCGAGATTATTTCACCGTATTATGTACAATTATACGCTTCTCTTTCTTTACGAAATTGTAAAGAGCTACCGGCGATGATTAAATATTTTTATAAGCAAGGGATTGATTTTCTCAGAGCGAGGGAAATGTCTTGCACGCATTCGTCGAACTAAAGGAAACGCGCAGTAAATACTTTTATCTCGTTATACATAATTGTACATAATGGCAAAGTGATCCGACTGTGAAAGTCTTTGCATGTGGTATTTGAGCTGAATGTATATCTCTTTATTATTAATAGTAAGTGTCAATTGATATTACACTCGTTGAAATGACGAAAGTAAGAGATAGGAGAAAATATCGATACGAGCAAAAAGAAAAATCATTTGAAAAATGAAATGGAGAATGGGAGGGTAGAGAAAAATTAGAAATCCGGCTGACACGACTACGAGCGATAATTCTGCTAATATCGAATATCTCGAAAGTTTCTCTCCCGCTCTTTCCTCGCTTGTGCGAAGAGCGAAGAGCGAGAATGATTGTGCTCCGAGGTGTTTCATGTGCCTGTTGCGTTGCAGAAGCTCGCGCGCGCCTGTATATTAAATGGTGTTCACGGTTCACCAGTCAAATTGAATCTCGGGCTATTGGCAGATTCTCAATAAGCTTCAACAATGGACTCTGTTACACGAGCCCCACGTCTCCCTCCAGCTCTTTTCTACTCCCTCCGTATCGTTTCGGCCCGTCGTACTTTCGTTCAGCACGTTCTCGCATTTCCTTTCAGGAACGTATCCATCGTATTCGCTACACTACTTCGCGCTGCCGAGGTTTCGTTTCTACAGCTCGATATCCTTAAATGGTGATCACCCTTGCTCGAAGAGGAAGCTTTTAATTTTCCTTTACACTAAATATATTCTTTGTAATCTTGCAAACTCTCTTCAAGAGTCGGTCTCTCTTGTTTTCTCTAACAATAGTCGTATTGAATTATAACATCAGAGACGAAACATTATCTACAAATTTTTCTCCTTTACATTGTATCACAGCGAGATAAATTTATTTCTTCTTCAATCGATACGGATGACAATTGCATTTAAAAATTAAGTTCATTATTATTGTAACTTGTGACGAACGCTTAAAACAAATTGATAAAATATGTTGAAAAACTTAGTTTTAGAGTTATTTATCGATTTATGAGTCGAGGAAGAAAAAGAGAATCTCTATTCTCTTTGAATATTTAAATATTTAACTATGCATTGTGACGCACACAAACATCATTATTGTTCCATTCCAAAAAGTGAGATTTAGCAAAGAGAAATTATTTTAAAATTTACTATCTTTCTAGATAGATACGTTACTGTATTGTTTCATCGGTTTCCTTCAATTTCCAATCGCAAGTCGTACATATACATCGTCTGAAACTTGTGAATCAGAAAATAATATGTGAATGATGACGACACGTAAGCTACATCTATATATATATATTTATATAATTATCGCTGCATACCGTAAATGGAGAAAATAAAAGAGCCGGCATTTGTAGTCACAAATTATAATAATTTCAACGTAATTTTACAATTTTTTAATAGAACGTGCAAACTTTCGATTTTGCGTAACAATATATGAAAATATACAATATGAAAATTATATAAATACGCTTGAATGCAAATAATGCGGCGGCGACAGTAAAGGAAAGAAAAAAAAGAGAGAAAAAAAAGAAAAATCAAGCCATCACATTTCAGGAAATTTTTATAGTAGTCGACATTTCGTCCGCCGATATATACGCGAAGTGCGGGCAGTGCGTGCATTGTCTGGACGAGGTTAAGAGGGTTAGACCGAGTTAGGGGATGTCATGGGAGGGGTTGAGGAGGTAGGTGGGTATCGGTGTAATGAAGAGCGACAGTGGCGCCCCCAACCATCGCTAATTTGCCGCTAAGTGCCCGGCTTTGTTTCCGTACGCTGATCCCATCGTTCGCAATATCCTGGATCCAAGGCGACGTTCCACGGTGTTTAAGAGAGAAAGCTAAATAACCTGCGGTATTACCCGACAATCCAGTATAGATCGGGCTCGGATGGAAAAGGAATGACAAACCGACGAAACAAACATATCTGCGAGAGAGAGATTTCAAAAACGAAAAGTCTCCTTTTAATATTCGTATCAACCTGACAGCCCAAGTTTTCATACGAAAAGTTATTCAAGATGCAATTTACATACTTGGCTTTATATATTTAACAACGTTTTGCTGCTGCATTTTTATGTGTGTACAAAGTCCAAAATTTTAATGATAGTATATTATATATCAATAATTTTCAAAAGATTTATTTATTAGAGTAGCGAATATTGAAGTAATTATTCGATACTATCCTCAATACTATTGCTTAACAAATCACTTGAATGATATGCAATTTAAAACTACGTCAATCGACCTTTTTCGAGTTTACAAACATACACTGTATTTTATTCTATTTATTTTATTTTATCAATATTTGCATTATAAAAAAAAATATATTATTATAGAGCATACGATTAATAATTAAATTATATCGTTTATTTCTACCATCTTTTACATTCATATACATACAGTCGTACCTTCAATGATGATATATTATCTAATATGCATGTAAAGTAATTGCTTTCCGTCGGGTATATAAAGCAAGGAACCTTCAGTTGCTCCAGCAGTTATCTGTTCACGCGCGAACTAACAACAGCATATCAAGGAAATTGATAGAATTTTTTAAAAAAATCTCGCCAACATGGACACTTGGATACTACTGTCTCTGTTACCTGGCACCATCGCTGTTTATTACTACTTCTTTAAGGATTTGAATTTCTTCAAGAAGCATGGGATTCTTCATATACCACCGTGGCCTGTCGTGGGCAACATGGGGCCAACTTTTCTCCGCCAGTTATCGTTGACTGAAATGGTTCAGAAAATCTACAATCTGAATCGAGACGCCAAATATGTTGGTTTCTTCGACAGCATGAATCCAGTAGTGGTGATACGTGATCCAGAGCTCGTCAAGTTAATCGGCATTAAGAACTCTGAGTTGTTTCCCGAACATCGCGCTTTCATCGACGAAGTTAATGACCCTCTGTTAGGCAAGAATTTATTTTCGCTTCGTGGTGAAAAATGGAAAGATGTGAGAAATCTATTAAGTCCCGCTTTTACATCCAGTAAAATGAAAGCTATGTTTAAGCTTATGTCTGATTGTGCTGCCAACTTTACCGAGTTTCTTTCCAAAATGCCTTCTGATAAAAATGATATGGAAATAAAAAACTGCTTCACCAGATACACGAATGATGTAATCGCAACATGCGCCTTTGGAATTAGCATAGATTCTATGAGAAATCCTACCAACGATTTCTACGTTCTCGGAAAAGATGCTACGAATTTTAATACAGTGCGCGCGATAAAATTTTACTTAAGTAGGAACATGCCTACTATCACAAAAATGTTGGGCATTAAATTTATTGGTGATCATATAAGTCAATTTTTCAAGGATCTCGTGAGGAATACGATAGATATCAGAGACAAACAGAATATCGTACGACCGGACATGTTGCAACTAATGATGGATACTAAAGGAAAAAGGGGACCCGGAAAAGAACTGACTATTGAGGATATGACTGCACAGGCATTCGTCTTCTTTTTTGGCGGGTTTGATACCGCTTCCACTTTGATGTGCTTCGCTGTTCACGAAATCGCCGTCAATCCAAGTGTTCAGAAAAAACTGCGCAACGAGGTAGACGAAGTTTTGAAGCAAACAAACGGGGAATTAACCTATGACGCTTTAAGCGGAATGCAATATTTAGACGCTGTTGTTAACGAAGCTCTTAGATTGTGGCCTCCGGCGATTTTCTCGGACAGAATATGTATGCAAGATTTCGAATTACCGCCTGCGCTTCCAGGAGATAAGCCTTTTGTCGTGAAGAAAGGATCCATCGTTTGGTTTCCTATTTTCGGTTTTCATCGAGATCCAAAGTATTTTGAGAAACCGAATGAATTTTATCCCGAACGATTTTTGGACGAGAATAAGAAAAATTTAAATCTAAACGCATTTATACCATTCGGACTCGGTCCGAGGATGTGCATAGGTAATAGATTTGCATTATTGGAAACAAAGGTCTTAATATTTCATTTATTGGCTCGCTGCGAATTAAAACCGTGTGCGAAAACTTCTCATCCGTTACAATTAAGTAAAGCAAGCTTCACTCCACTAGCAAAAAACGGGTTCTGGCTAAAGATTCAAGCGAGAAACGATGCGCATAGTAGTGTATCCACAAGTGTTAATGGCGATGCGGCTAATGGTCATAGTCAAAGCCATACGAATACGGATAAAACATACACTTGTAAATAAAAATCTAATTTAATTTTTTACTTATTGTTAATTAAAAGAAATTATGCGCAAGATATTGATATATTTAAAGATAAGATAATAAAGTGCGTGTAAAATAATTTTATTTTAAATAACTTTTCCGTTTATGTAATCATTAAAATAGCAGTAAAACGGCAATATTTATTTATAATTTTACTCTTTATTTCCTTTTATAATTTTATTTGATATGTGTTTTTTTTTTAAATTTTATTAAAGTGTTTGAAGGCAAATTGATACTGATTGATATCTATTATCTGATATCTAATTTTAATATCTAATCTGTAATCTTGATATCTAATCTAATCATCTTTTGTTGAATATAGTCTCGAAGGAAAAAATAATTTGTTATAATAAAAATTCTTCACTAATTGTTATAGTGTAGAAATTGTTATTCGATTTTAATAAGACACGATATATATATATATTAAGAGTTAATATAAAATTATATTAATTAAACAATAAATATTATTGCATTAAAATTTTATATAAGAACAAAATAGTTTTTTTATATATTCAGATTTAGACAGACAAAAAATCATATAATTAGAAGACAATACAGATATTAATTGAAAGCTTTATGATACAGATCGAAGTTGTACTAAATATGTTTGTGCATTTAAGTTTATATATTTGTACATACAAATATAAATTTTACATATAAAGAATATTATTCTCAATAAAATATAAAATAACATTAATCCGTATACCTGTTAGTAGTTTATTATCAGATATGACATATTTAATTAAACATAGCACATAACTTTGTAGATTTCTCCTTTCTATCTTTCCTCCTCCTATCTTTCTATGTACTATGTAAATAAAATAATAATAAATAATAAAAGTGGAAAAGTAATATATATATAAAATATGAGATATTATCAATTTTTATATTTATATATAGAATACAATAATATATATAATACAAGATTACGTGAAATTTTTTGATATATCTAAAGAATTTATGCACGTCATTGTATTTATCGAACAGTAAATAAGTTTATAATTTTTCGCTATTGTATTTTTATGTGCACAAACAAAATAAAAAAATTCGAATAAAAGCATTCTACACATATAAATAATTTTTTCAATAATTCATATATTATACTGTAATTATTACAATAATTATTCTTTATTACGCAACATTATTACTCAATAAATCACGAGTGATACGCACATCAAGACTACGTCAATCCATAGCTTTGAATTTATAAATGTAAGATTTGTTTTTTTTCTTGTCTTCTTTTTTATTTTTATCATTAGATAAGAAAAACAGATTACTATGTAAACATTTGATTAATATTTAAATTATATCGTTTATGTCTTTTTATCACGTTCTCTTTCCATTATAGAATCGTAGCTTTAATCATACATTATCTAATATACGTATAACGTCACTGATTTTCATTGGGTATATAAAGCAATAAATCGCCAACATCTTCAGCAGTTATATGTGCACTCGCGATCTAACAATATCGTATCAAGACAAGCAGTCATTCTTTAAATCGTCTCGTCATCATGGATACTTGGATACTACTGTCTCTGTTAGCTGGCACCGTCGCTGTTTATTACTACTTCTTTAAGGATTTGAATTTCTTCAAGAAGCATGGGATTCTTCATATACCACCATGGCCTGTTGTAGGCAACATGGGACCAACTTTTCTCCGCCAATTATCGTTGAACGACGTGATTCAAAACATTTACAATCTGAATCGGAACGCCAAATATGTTGGTTTCTTCGACAGCATGAATCCAGTAGTGGTGATTCGTGATCCAGATCTCATCAAATCTATTGGCGTTAAGAACTTTGAATTGTTTCCTGACCATCGCGCTTTTATCGACGAGGTTAATGATCCTTTATTCGGTAAAATTTATTTTCGCTTCGTTATGATAAATGGAAAGATGTGAGGGCTCTATTGAGTCCCGCTTTTACGTCCAGCAAAATGAAAGCTATGTTTAAGCTTATGTCTGACTGTGCTGCTAACTTTACCGAGTTTCTTTCCAAAGTGCCCTCTGATAAGAGTGATACGGAAATGAAAAACTGTTTTACTAGATACACCAATGACGTAATCGCAACCTGCGCCTTCGGAATTAGCGTAGATTCTATGAGAAATCCTTCCAACGATTTTTACGTTTTCGGAAAAGATGTTTCGAATTTTGACACTCTGCGCACAATAAAATTTTACCTCAGTAGGAGTATGCCTGTTATCTCCAAAACATTAGGCATTACATTGATGAGCAAACGTGTAGGTCAATTTTTCAAGGATCTTGTGAGGACCACGATAGACGTCAGAGACAATCAAAATATAGTTCGACCGGATATGCTACAACTGATGATGGAGAGTAGAGGAAAGAGAGGACCTGCAAAAGAACTAACTATCGAGGATATGACTGCACAGGCGTTTCTCTTCTTTCTTGGTGGTTTTGATACTGTTTCCACCTTGATGTGCTTTATTGTTCACGAAATCACCGTCAATCCAGATGTTCAGATGAAACTGCGCAAGGAGGTAGACGAGGTTTTGAAAAAAACAAACGGGGAAATAACCTATGAGGCTTTGAACGGAATGCAATATATGGATGCTGTCATTAATGAAACTCTTAGATTGTGGCCGCCAGCGGCTTTTTCGGACAGGAGATGTGTGCAAGATTTCGAATTACCACCTGCGCTTCCAGGAGATAAGCCCTTCATCGTAAAGAAAGGGTCGTTGGTGTGGTTTCCTATTGTCGGTCTTCATCGGGATCCACAGTATTTCGAGAAACCGGATGAGTTCTGTCCCGAACGTTTTCTGGACGAAAATAAGAAGAATATTAATATCAATGCATATCTCCCTTTCGGACTCGGTCCACGAATGTGCATAGGTAACAGGTTCGCATTATTGGAGACCAAGGTCGTAATATTTCATTTATTGGCTCGATGCGAATTGAAACTGTGCGCGAAGACTTGCTATCCGATGCGACTTAGTAAATCAAGCTTAACTCCACTGGCAGAGGGAGGATTCTGGTTGAGAATTCAAGCGAGGAAGGATGCTCATACCAGTGTATCCACAAGCGTTAGTGGTGATGCGGTTAATGGCTATTTTTGAATCCGTACGAATGTCGACAAATTATGCATTTATAAATATAAATGTAATTCAATTCTATTTGGCTAAGAGACATAGTGCCTAAGACATTGATATTCGTATATAATATAAATAATATGTATGTAAAATAATTTTAATTTAAGTAACTTTCCATCTTTATGATTTTTAAAATAGCTTTATTTGTTTATTCTTTATTTCTTTTTTTTCATTATTTGTCGGTTTTGATTTTATTTGGCTTATAGTTTTGTTGTTTTATAATTTTGTTTGATTTTTGTTAATAATGTTTGAAGGATATCTAATCTCTGTATTCTGCGACCATTTTTTGAATATTTATTTTTGACAGAAAAATTAATTTGATATAATAAAAATTCTTGATATTATTTGTTATTAAAACGTAGAAATTCTTATAACAATAGGATAATATTATATTAAATACAATATATATATTATTGTAAAAGAAATTTTATATAAGAACAAGATATTTTTTTATATTAAATACAAATATTTTTGTAGATAAACGAAAAATATAGGTATCGGAAGAATTTATGCACGTAATTTTATTTATTGAACAGTTAATAAGTTCATAATTTTTCGCTATTGCATTTTTAAATGTGCATACACAAAATAAAAAAATTCGAATAAAAGCATTATACACATATAAATGATTTTTCAAAAAATTTATATATGTATATCATACTGTGATTATAAAAATAATTATTCTATATTACACAACGCTATTGTTTAATAAATCGCGAGTAATACGAATTTCAAGGCTACGTAAATCCATAGCTTTGAATTTACAAATGTAAAATTTGTTTTTTTTCTTGTTGTTTTCTTTTTTTATTTTTATCATTAGATAAGAACAACAGATTACTATGTAAGATTTGATTAATATTTAAATTATATCGTTTATCTCAACAATTTTCATCACGCTTTCTTTTTTGGAATCGTAGCTTTAATGATATATTATTTAACATATGCGTAAAGTAGTTAATTTCCATCGGGTATATAAAGCAAGAAACCGCTTGCATCTTCAGTAGTCATCTGTGCACGAGTCATCTTTGTTTCTTTTCATTCTTTATTTTGTTGTTCATAATTTTGTTGTTTATAATTTTGTTGGTTTATAATTTTGTTGTTTTATAATTTTACTTGATTTTTATGTTATTAATGTTTGAATGATATATAATCTTTGTATTCTGTGATTTTTTTTGAATATATAATTTTGAGATAAAAATAATTTGATATAGTAAACATTCTTGATATTATTTGTTACGAAAGTTTAGAAATTCTTATAACAATAGGATAATATTATATTATATAATATTATATTATATAATATTATATTATACAATGAATATTATTGCAAAAGGAATTTTATATAAGAACAAGATATTTCTTTTATGTTTAGAAAGACGGAAAATTGTATATTAGTGTACAATTTAGGTATTGAATTTTTATTATGCAAATATTGAAGGTGTCTTAAATATTTTTGCAAATTTGAGTTTATATTGTATATATAAATATAAATTTTATATATAACATATATAACATTATTTTTCAATCAGATATAACATTTATATTAATATACTATATCTACATACGTATATTATATATCCATATATTATAAGATATATAATTTATTTATAGCTCAACTCTTTTTTTTACTCTTTCTCTTTCTCTCTCTCTCTCTCTCTCTCTCTCTCCGTCTTTCTATGTGTAAATAAAATAATTATTTATATATAATAAAAGTGGAAAAAAAATAAAATGTGAGATATAATCATTTCTATACTTATACATACTATATGTATAGTGTACAATAGTATATCTTTCAATATATCTATAAAATTTATGCACATGATTTTATATATTAAATAATTTTCGTAACTATTTGATGTTTTTATATATATATTCCAATAAATTAAACAATCCTAATGATAGAATTATATATAAATAACTTTTCTATAAATTTATTTATCGTGATAGGATTATCTATGTGATTATTATATTGTGTACCCCTCGACGCTATTGTTTAATAAATCGCAAGTCATATGAACTTCAAGA